CGGCCGACAACTGGTCATCCAATGTCAACCGTGAATCCAGGAGAACACCCAAGTTGCGGACCCGATCTGAGGGGGCCAAAGTTTCGCCCCCTATAGTCAGCGATGGAGTCAGCTGACTATGCCGGGGCGCCGGCAACCACAGCCACTCGGTCTTGGACGGGTTGAGTCTGAGTCTGTTCCTCCCCATCCAGACCCTCACTTCAGTTTGCCAGGCGGCCGCCATGGACAGCTGGGGGGCTTTTTCTCCCTCCCCTGTTCAGTTTCGCATTGCTGGGGGGCTCTGAAAAGGGCTGAAAATCGCCCCGAAGAGACGACCAGCAAGGAGGGGCTATCGCTGGATCGCGGGAGAGCAGCAACTCTCCCGTTGGAGCAGGTGATCCCTCCAAACCGGCGGATGAAAGGACCAGCCATTGAAATATGGCTCGTCCCTAGGCTGCAGACAGCCGAAGTCACATTCACCATCTGGCAACTTCAAAGCAGCATGGAAAGGACTGGGTGAGATCTACTTCTCTTAAATCCTAATTGCTTTTTTGTACCTATTCAAGTTGCTAATGTACTTTCCCCCCTGTGGAGAGGGAAGGGGGATTTTAACCCTCCCTCCAGAAACAACGGTGATTGAATACACAGGGGAGTTTCTTTTTTTTTGAAAACGTTGAAAAAAATAATTGGATTTCAATTGGAACTTTATTTCCTAAAGCTTGTGGATTAAAAGATTTTTGATTATTTACTTTTTACTTTTTATTTTCATTCGAAAGTCTGGGTTTTTCCTCTTAAAATAACCCCCCCTGAAAGGATTACAATAACTTTGAGATTTAAAGGAATTCCTTAAACAGTGGGGTGACATCTTATGGCTAAACCTGAAATTGCAATTTATTATTCTTAAAGAAAAGAGACTTGGCTGACAGTTTAGAAAAAAAGATAAGATTCATGTAGTAACCTTGAACACCAGCTGTGAGAGTTTTAGCTCTGTTTCTTATTTACTGGGGGGGAAAACTGTGAAAGTTTTCAATTCAACCCATCACTATGGAAGACCAGGAACAGACCTTTCCTATGGAAGAAATGCAAAAACAAATTTTTGCTATGTTGAAAATAACTTACTAAACTTACCAAACTCTTCTTAAAGCTGGCAATGAAATAAGAGCTTTTGGGGAAAAACCAGAAAGTGTCTTAGATATGCAAACTCAAAGTTTGACTATAACTAAAAACCTGTCTATACAGAATACAACAGAAAAAATCAAACAATTAAATATTATGACAGAAGACCTAACTGCCCAACAAGTACAGACAATAGAAAATTCAAAAAAAAATCTGACAACATGGATGGAGGAAAAAAACTGCTATATAAATCAGAAGGAATTTGAAGATCAAGAAGAGAAACAGATGGAAGAAAAGATAAACAGTTCAGGACAACTACGTCAAGAGGAGAAAATAAAGAGACGATCCTGTAGTCCTGCCAGACCCTTCAGCCTTCCAAAAATGGTGACTGAATGGTCATTTCAATATGACATAATATATATAATAATACAAGAAATCTTTGAGGACCCTGAAGCAAGGACATCGAAAATGTTTTGGCAAAGAAAAAAAGCCAGAATAAGACTGAAGAAGAATGGTGGACATATTTAGGAGGTTTAAAATAGAATATACTTAAGTAGACAAGACCCGTATTTTGAATATGAGATATTGTTATGATGTGAAGATAAAGAAAAATGTTGGCTAATTAAAACCTAGATGCATAAATATCAACAGTTAAATTGAAATATTGAGTTGTTTATAAAGGTTAGATAAAGGTGATTAAGACATGTATATGTTAAGAGTGATGTAACATAATTAACATGTTTTGATGTAGTGATAAGAAAAATTATAAGCTTAAATATGAGAAAGTGGACATAAGGAAGAATGCTGAAATGGGAGAATTTTTGGTTATTGAATCTATGATACTTGGAAATTATAATGAAAATAAGAATATTATGTTGTATTACTAATCTGTTGACATAGAAGTGAAATAGATATATATCCAGAACACTAGATGTTGGGGGGAATTGTGACAAAGGGAATTGGGGTCATTTAAAAGTTTGGAAATGATAAATATTAAACATTTAATTTAAATATCAACGCAAAATTAAATCTGGGAAAATTCATAAGGTTATTGATGGTCCAAAAGATGGAATGTTAAAATAAATAAGACATATAAAATTATTGATAAATGTAAGAAAGCTATTAAGTAGCTGATGGATAGAATAAGAAGTATACTAATTTAAACAAGAGACAGTATGTATTAAGGGAAAAGAGAGAGGAAATATTGGCTGTAATAGTTGGAGATTTGTATTAATAATATTTGTATGTAATGGAATTATTGTAACTCAGACCACGTTGCTTTTCAAAGATATAATTGTAACATTGGAAAATTAATAAAAAGTTTAAAAATAAATAAATAAAAGCTACAACACAATTCTCCAAGATGTTGCAGCTTAATCACATTATTAGATGCCTTCACTTTCCTGGTTTGTGTTTTTTTATTTTCCTATGTTCAAGCCTCATACATCCTTTAAATAAAGACTTGGAGAAGACTCCCGGTCTTGTGCCGTAGCGCCTGGTCGCGGGATCACGGACCTCCGCACCCTGCAGCTAGTTTCGCCCTGCCAGGGGACCCTAAATGGGTCTAAGTTACCCCAGAGAGGCGGCGAAGAAAGAAGGGTGCCCCGACAACTCTGGAACGATGGCGGTCATTTTGTTCAGTTCGGGAAAAGCCTTCTAACCCGACACACATGAACAGCATGCTTGAAACTGGGTGAGGAATTTGATCTCTCTCCTATTTTATACCTAATTTTCTGAAAAAGATCCCCAAAAAGGAAAAAGCCTCCCAAAGTGAGAAGGGGGGGGGAATTGTCTCATCCTTCTATAGACGGAAGCAGTAAATTAAACCCTTATGGGGAATAAACTTTACCATTTGAAAGCTAAGAAAATTGTTAAAACTCTATACCTGAAAAAGCATTGATGAAATTATATATATATATAAAAAGAAGAACAAAAATAACTCTTTGTTTTAAAAAGTTGAAAAATGAACAGTGACATCTAATGGAGGATTAGAAAAAACTATAGCAGCACTGACCCACAATTTGGCAAGATGCCTAGAAACAGCAAAAAACAGCTGGGAACTAAGCATTGAGTTATCTACTACTGAATGAAACTACATATGTTTAGAAACTGCTGACCTTCTGGAATTATAAACACACTGAACTGCATTCTTAAATCTTAACCTAAGAACTGTTTGCAAAGAAAGAAAAATTTTGGCCTTTGGGTAATCTTCTAAAGGAGAAATTACTGGAAACTTTTAGATGGTCAAATACTTTGAACTGAATCCTGATTGGCTGATAATTATAAGATCCCTGAAAAGAAAACTGCCACAAAATATTGTTTTCAGTGGTGCCTTGACAATTGGAAATGTACTGGATTATAAAACCACTATATAAAGACAAGAACTGTGTAAGATTTCGCTGTTTGGATTTTAGGATGGACTGGCTTGATAAAACTAATTAAAAAGATTTTGACACCGATGGGAAACTACTTAGAGGGGAGAGATAAAATGGATATTATATACCTATCTAAAAGTAATATAAAACCATATCTAACACTTCTTCCTGAAGAACCCAGTTTGGAGCTTCAAAGATCTGCAAGAACATTGACTCAAGACAATACAAATACATTCCAGGAGAAAATATACACAATCCTGCGACAGATTCAAACGATAATTGTTTCAAACCATGATGAGATTAGAAATCAGTTTGACAATATAAACAAACATATCTCTAACTTAAACCTACAGCTAAATGACACTCAGAAAATGTCAACAAAGAATGAACAAACAAATCAGACAACAGAATATAAATTAAATGAAAGTGACTTAAATAGAAAAGCTACAAATGAAGAAAACTACAATTTAATACAAACAAACAAAAATCTGCAAAACCTTACTATAATAAAGAAGACAAAAAAGATGCCTTATCCTCCAGTACTGCAAAACAAATTTGAGGATAAAAAAGAAGAACAAATAAAATGGATTAAAGAATTGTCAGAAGAATCATCAAAACGTGGGAGAGAAAAATCTGATATCTTACTTGATTTGTCTTTTTTGTCCCCAATAACACTTACAAAAATACAACCTGGCAAGCCAAACTTACTGATCTGAAAAGCGACTTGGCAAAAGAAGAAGATCAAAGTTGGAGTCAAGAGACGTTATTCAACTTATCAGATGGAATATTATATGACTAAGCATTTGTTTGAATATGGTTAATATATATATAAAGTTTGGATATAAAGAGGTCCTAGAGAAAGATTATTAGGTGGTATATTATAGGAAGAAATATTGTTGGAATATAGCCAAAAGAATAGATAAAGCTTGTAAAGGGGCCCTATAGTAAGAGGAATAAGACATATAAGTAGTATAATACTTTTAGAATATATGAAATGTTAAAACATTGAGAGGGTCTATTTAAATGAAAAGTTTGGATATTTAAAGGTAATGAATTTTGAGAAAACTATGACTGATAAAAGAGTGGTTTGAATATTGAGGGGAAACTGAGCTTCAATAAGAACCTTGAAAACAGGACATATAATGATTTAATAACATGACTTTTATGAATACAATGGAAATAGGCTGATTAAAAACATGTTATATGTTATTATATGCATAAATACTAAAAAAATGTTTATATTCAACTAGGTTTGTACTGAAAATATTAAGAATTATATTTGTTTAATGTAGACAAAAGGAGAATATTACAGGAAGAAGAGAGGATCAAGAAATATATTACTAATATATTGATTAATTATAGAAATTAATTATCATTGATTGTTTTAAATATATGAACCCAGACCACACACTGTTCACGAAGCACTAAAGATTGTTATTGCAAAAAATTAATAAAATATATATATTTTAAAAAAGACCTTGCATTGAAAGTGGGTTCTTGACCAATTTTGCATTAGTCAGCATGTTAGCGCTATACTGTTACAAAGAGGCTAAAACAAATATGCCCTCAGTGTGGTGTCTCTTGGGGTTCTAGGAAACTAAATAGATTCTGCAAGCTTGAAGGGAAGAAAAGATATGAGTTATGTGTGTTAGTAGTGAGCTTTCCAACTTCTGGATTATAGTTCTACCATTTTGATATTTTTAAAGGGAAATTGCAGTACCTAATACAATGGAAGGGATACCCGTTGTCTGAAGCCACCTGGGTGAAATCCAGTGAAGTAAAGGCTAATAGATTGGTCAAAAGGTTTCATGTGAAACACCCCAACAAACCGAAAGATAACCCTTAACATATGCTTTGGTTTGCTTTATAGGATCTGTCCTTTTTTGTAAGGGGGGGCGGATGTCAACGCTGCAAATACTGTATATTCTTGCTTTGACAATATGCAGAACTGTCTGGTATTTTTATAGTTAAATCAGGCAACAGTGAAAGGGGAGGAGAATAAGGAAAGCCCGGGAAAAAGAAACCGGAAGTAAATCACATCTTCCAAGTTAATTGGAAGATGTGAACCATGACCCCAAAATAGGGGCAGGAAAAATGCCTGTAATGTATGTGCAACGGAAAAGAATCTCAGATCTAAGCATTTCCACCATGCCGTACTGACATCTTTGTAATCTTAATAAATGCTTTTAGGAAAAATATGCCTGAAAGTCCTTTTAAGTGTTTCGTTAATCAGACACATGACATGAGGATTGAATAATTATATGTATGTTGAGTAGTTTAATAGGTACCAGTTTAGTGGAAGATAACAGCGTTCCATACGCCTTTGGCATATAGCCATGCTGGCCACATGACCATGGAAATTGTCTTCGGACAACAACGCTAGCTTCCTCGGCCAAGAAACAGAGTTGAGCACTGTGCCCTAGAGTCAGATACGACTGACAGGGAAACCTTTACCTTTAGTTCTTCAGTGTTTAAATCCTTGGTTGATTCTCCAATTTCAGCAAATCAAATTAAAATGACACTTCTTTTAAACTCTATTTTGGGGTTATTTAACAGGAAAACAAAAAGTAAGTATTGAGACCAAACTTCTTAAAGTGTTGAAGTTCTGTTTCTCTGTCCTAGATTTCAAACATGAATAGAACACAAAATATGATGAATGGCTCTTTTCTTGCATTGTCAAAACATATCTCAAGCCATCAACTGTCAATTACAATGTTAATGTAATATTACAGACCAGGTGCATGTTTTTCTAAATCCTGGTCTAAATAGTAAATTCCTCTTACCTGTTGTGATAAGGTTACTTCACTTCTTTAAAAATAGTCAGTGATGAAATAATTAAAATCCTTGATAATTCAGTGAATTTTTTTAAATCAAGGAATCACGTGATTTGACAATGAAGGAATACATGTAGGCAGTTAGAAACTAGTATTTTACAAAACAGACAACTGAAAAACATAAAAGTATATAATCTGCATGTAAGAATAATTTTAAACGAGACTCTATTTTTTTCAATATGTGAGTATATGTAATCTAAACTTTGCAATGTTCTCCTGATAAATTTATTTTCAAGGTGGAAGGTGTTTTTTTTTACAGATTCTGATCCCTGAATTCTTTCAAAGCGAAGAACAACCTTTACAACCTGGTGTTTCCCTTTTTGATTTGAACTATTTCCCCCACCTCAAGTCAACTTGGTCAAAGGCTGAAATTACAAGGATTAGATTACAAAACAGAGGAAAGTAAATTGGAACAGACTGGGGAATCAGCTTAGAACTTGGGCAGAGAATTTTATGCCCAAATTTTGATTTATTGATAATGGAATAAAGCACTATTTCTAAAAACAAGTAGACATAATGGCCATTCCCTAAAAAATTTTCTCTTTTTCCTTTCCATGGGTTATTTTTCAGGTAAGAGTTTATGATCTTCTCCAGTATGAGCATGGATCAGATGATGTCCTCATCTTAGCTACCGATGGACTATGGGATGTACTATTAAATGAAGAAGTAGCGGAAGCCATCACTAATTTTCTGCCAAACTGTGACCCTGATGATCCATACAGGCATGTAACCTCTCTTCTGTAAAGCTGTATTTGAAATTGTCTTGCTTTTTCCTGAGGATAACATTGAGGGTATTTTGTTATAAGATGATTAGCTTATTACATAGAACAAAAAGCATTTTCAGCAAGGTTTTCATACTATATTTCACAAGAGGCTAATTTTAGTTCTACAATTTTAAAGTGAATACAAATAGATACAAATAAAAAAATTGATTGTAAACAAAAATGTGATAGAAGCAGTTCAGTTTGCACCAAAGCAAATTTTTCTGATTTCTGAATTCTGAAAAGTTAGACAACGAAATAAAAGATTTATTCCTGTCTGCACATGCTTACAATTAAGAGATGCACTTTTACGAAATATAGATTTAGGAAGTTCAGCTATTGCTTATAAGCTAACCAAAGCTGTTCTATGCCCTGTAGGGAAGAAGATCAATTTTAAAACACATTTAAGCTGATATGTTTTCTCAGTGCTTTTTTTGTAAAAAAAAAAAAAAAAAAAAAGGTGCCGGAACTCACACATATCATACAACCCGCCTTACCTACCCTACAACGTTCCATCCAAAAAAGGTGCCGGAACTCCGTTCTGGGCGTTCTATGACAAAAAAGCCCTGTGTTTTCTGTCTCTGATATTCACTCACTTTTCTTGTGCTATAAAGACAAAGATGAATGCCTCCATATAGCAGTGACTGATGGACTGATTGTATGGTCATATTCTGAAAAAAATTCAAGCAGACAGAAATCCTAGAATATTACCCAAGACTGAAGTTCCCTCCCCCAGATACAAAGTAACAAGTTGTAATTCCCACCCCAGACTGTCATAAATCACATTCACCAATTATTCCAAAACACGGGCTCTCCCCCAACTTCTCAACCCGCCAAAACTTTATCTAACATAGAACCTTGAGTTCATACACATCTGCAATTGTTATGGCTAACTGAAAACGCTCGAGCATTCCCCTCATCCCCCCTTCTACATCTAAATATCTCAAACAGCAGAAAAAGCACAGTAAAAGCAAAAGGTAAAATGGTTGCAGTTTCTTAATTGTCACAACGTTGACATCCAGCCCTCCTTAACAGAAAGGAGAGTCCTGCAAATCAAACAAAAGCACAGGTTAAGGATTTCTCCTTGGTTTGTTCGGATGTTTGTCATAAAATTTACAAATAAGTCTATCAGCTTTTACATCAGTACATTTAACCCAAGTAGCCTCTGATAAGGGGTAGCCTTTCCACTGCACCAAATATTGTAGTTTCCCCTTATATAACCTAGAATTGAGAATATGTTTCACTTCATAATGAGTCTTCTCAGCCACCACAAGGGGCTCAGGTGCTTTCTTGGGAGGGGGTCTTAAAGTTGATTCCCTGAAAGGTTTCAACAAGCTGCAGTGAAATACAGGGTGAATCTTCCCTAAAAGTCGAGGGAGTTTAGTTCTACAGTAACAGGGTTCAGAATTCACACTATGGGGAAAGGACCCAGGTACTTTGGTCCCAATTTTTTACTAGGCAATTTGAGTCTTAAATACTTTGTGGACAGATAATCCTTTTCCCGAACGTGAAATGATATCTAGGGAGTTCTTTTTTATCAGCTTGTTTCTTATACATTTCCGAGGCTTTCTTCAATGCTTTTTTGGCATTGTCCCACACTTCCTTCCAAGCTGACACCCATTGATCTAAAGTTTGAGAAGCAGGGGGATCTTGGGGGTATTCAGGTATTGGGATGAATTCCTTCCCAGTAGTGATTTTAAAAGGCGTGAAACTAGTGCTACTGTGGACAGTGTTTTTTTTAATACAAGTTTTATTGAGTTTTTCAGTTTTTACAACAAGTGCTTAGGAAATAGTGTGGTGATGGGGTAATCAATTATCCAAAAACCAAGACATTTGTATATAGCTCAGGTTAACTTGTTAAAAATTCCTTCTCTAATTCCCTCAAATAATATACCATATTCAGATTAATACATTTCTAGTGAAATTCAATCAATCAGTAAAATTATCAATAACAATTTAACTATACAAATCCCAATCCTGTATTTAAGCTTTACAAAATTCCAGTTATCATATTTCAATTTAGCTGTAAATGGACATATTATTTATACTTAGGGTATCCCTAATTTCCCTCTTTTCATAACATAATAATTATAATATCTAAAAATGAACATATTATTCCCACAATTACATTCTTATATTTCCTAAACATATTCTATTCTTATTCTACTAGCTCCTCATTTACTAATACCATGTTTTCTATTAGCACAATCCATTTTCTTATTCTCATTCCATTACAAAGTAGTTATCATAGATAAGATAAACATATTATTTCAAAAAATACATTCTTACTCTATTTCACATATTTATTCTACTAACCGAGAATTTTCCTCTCGCTTATAAGTCTGAGTCAATCCATATCTCTAAAAAGCCTTTTTAACCCGTTACATACAATTTTAGATCTCATTTTTAAGCGTTATTCTGGCTTTCTTTATGTGCCAAGCAGGTTTCCATAACAGAGCCTCTCTATCAACAAATAAGTCTCTCTTTATTCTACGTAATATCATTTGGTCAAGGGAAAACGTCCCATCCTCTGTTTTAGGAACCTGACTCTTTTGTGATTAATCCCTTGTTGTTTTAAAAATTCAAGTCTCAATGTTTGGTTCAGCTGAGTAACACACTCAGTTGTGTCTAGTTTTGTGATTAGTAGTTGGTTATCAAAGTTGTCATAGTTCTCAATAAATCATATTTGTACATCAATTCCTGTTGCTTTTGAAATTATATATGGTTTAGTTAAAGTTACTTTTTGATCATCAAAAATCTCAATAGGTTGTATATAATGTGGCATAAAGTCCTCTTTGGTGTTGATTGATTCCTCTTCTGTTGTTTTTGGGCCTGTAGGATAGTCCAGAACTTTTCAACCTTTTCACCCACTGTACCACTTTTAGGATATGGCAACATCTGAGTACCACCAGTCACCTAGCAAGGTGTTGTGATTCCGTGCCAGCCTGTGTTCCCAACAGCTGAGTCTGAGGAATCTGAGGAGGAGGTGGAGGAGGCTGTTGAGGGGCCATCAGGGTCAGAGGGAGGCTCTGATGAATTACAAGACTCACGGCTTGATGAAGAGCCTGGCCCCTCCAGTCGTGTTTCTGATGAAGCTCAGCTGTGTGAGGAGCAGGAGTCAG